AAATATATCCAATATCACTGGTCTCCCTAAATGTAGGTTTCTTTGTAAGTGCATTTAGGGAGAGTCCACAATATAAATAATAGTCAAGAGATTATATTGAAGAAATTCTTGGCCATGCTGTTTGTATGTTTAGTACTAAGATCGGCATCTTGTTAGAGTTCTCAACATCTTCCCATGCATCTCATTGTGTTTCTATGATATCAGCACAAAATTGGCCAGCCAAGTTCTCATGAAAATACAAAAGACTGGTTGACTTTAATTTTTATTATGATTGTCCAAAGCCTTTTAATAACACACTGTTTTCATATAATGAAGTTCCCGTTTAAATCTCCTGACCTTAACTTTTCGGAGGTGCAAACCTTTGTAATAGACGATTTCATTAAAAAACAGCAATTCATTTAAACAAACACGGTTGTTATGTTCTATTTCAATACTTACACGATCTTTCTTGATTTAAGAACAGTCCATTTGTATCGTTTTAAATAGATCGACAGTATAAACATCACAGACAGAATAGTTATTGCTTTCAGACCCATTTTCTTCCTTTCGTCATGCTCGGGCTCAGCGGCCCAATTGAGGAATGTTACTACATCCTTAGCCATTTGAGATGTAGTGGCCGGCGTACCTTGAGTAAATATAAGGCAATTAGCTAAGATAGTCCGTCGATATAAATATCATTTGGATGACATTTCTCACCATCTTCATATTCGACAAGTCCATCGTACAAAACTCGAGCCATGCCGATAGCACCACCAGGAAAGTAAGGATTGTAGTGAAGACCCTCTCTTATTTCGACTCCTGCCGGTGGATCGACATAGCCAGTAAGCAGCGAGAAGACGTAATCCTAGAAAAGTAACGAGCAATTATTTCTTGCTAGTAAATCATCACAACAACTAGACGTTGAACTCCACATTAAAGTACAAATGTACGAATAAAATAACAAATTTCCTATACATACGCATCCACCATGACGGGCCTTAATCATCAAAGAGAGATCGGGGGGCAGAGCACCGGCATTGGCAGCACGGGCAGCTTCTTCATTTGGATATGGTCGTGGTAAATAATCTGACAATTTACCAGGACGTTGAAAATACTCGCCAGTATCGTCAGGGCCATCAGTATATTCCACTTCCTCAGCCATGGCTTTTGCTTCATCCAAAGTGTGTGAGACACCAACAAAGTTACGCCAAGCGAGGCGTTCAAGCGAATGGCATGTAGAACAAACTTCTTTATAGACTTGATAACCACGCCGAATGCTAGTCAATGTAAGGAATTAACACGCATTTAAGAGAAAAAAAAAACGTCAATTACTTTAAATATATTTACCTAGCATGGTCAAAGGTGGCCCATATCGGTTTATGGGACCACGGGTAAGCTGGTGGATGAAGACCCTCATCCGCTAAGTTGGCATGAACAGGATTTGCATACACATAATAGCCAATGCCACCGGCAACAGTTGCAGCTGCGACGGCTGTAATTGCAATCGTTCTCTTATCCTGGAGGAGTTGTTAAACGCGTCAATTAGCCAATTGACATGAATATGTTTGAAGCTTGCGAACATGGCTAATTGCAACAATGAACTTATAATGATTTGGTCTAGTCTTACTTAATCAATAGTAACTTATACAATCATTTATAATTAAGCGCAATTAAGTAATGTTGTCAACAAACAGTATAATAGCAATCATTAATGAGACTAACCGCTTTGTTAGTTTCTGTGGCAGTGGAAGCATATCGAGTCTGTGGTTGGGAAGAGATTATGTAAAGGAGTCGCTTGAATCCAAACCAAACGAATACTACACGAAAGCTATTATTAAGCTACCTGAAAGCTAATTTTCGCTAAGTGCTTTAGCTGCTTCTTAAATGTCAAGTTCGAAATCCTAGAAAGCATCTGTCAAGTTGTTATAATTACCAAGCGACTTATGATGCTTTGAACAATGATTGTTTGTACAACTGCTGGAAGTTTGCCTTGATTCAAAAAAAAAAAGCGTCCTATTGCATCACAGCTAATATGTCGATCTCTTAAATGCCAAGTTTTGAGACGATATCTTGCGATCTTATGGTCCTAGACCTTAGGGCCAGGCAAATTCTTTCTTCACTCGATATAATGAGGTTTTGTAGTAAATTTTCGTCATTAAATATAATGAAGTTTTTTTCTCTAGAAAATTTTGTATTAGGCTAGGTTTATATCTGGTTTGTTGAAAGATCAGTTCATATTCTAGAGCTTGTAGTATGAATAATTTAATGAGACTTGAGCAATGTTCCTGCAACTTGCAATTGTACTATTATAGAAGGAATGTAAACATCCACCATATCCTAGGAGTGGCAAGATAAATTTTTAGGTAACAGACTTGAACGAGTCGTGGTTAGTCCATACAAATTGAGATGCACGCCTGCAATGGCAAGTCCAGAAACTTGTTAACATTCGGCAATAAGAGCAGCCTGCAAAATTTAGCCACGCCTTAATGGACGCGGGCATGTAAACAAAATCACGTTTAGAGTTAAATTTGAGAATACACGCTGGTAAATTTGAAAGCAAACACTCTCCCAGGTGACCGAAAAAATTCCCCCACCATTATACAATATAAAAAGCTTCCTTTACAGCAGTAAATTGTGTAATAAGTAATTACGTTAAGGCTTATTATTACTCTAATTGCCTTAGATTAACATTACATTACATTAATAGACTTGACGTAATTATTGAGTTTATAAACAAAGTCTGTTTTTCTATCCATTCACGTAAACACGTAACTTTCGAATAATAAATAATTTCTGCACACGTTATCCCTGTTTAATACAATTAGTTTCTAAAATCGGGCTTTTGATCAATATATATAAAAGTCACAACTTAGCCAATAATCTGCTATTATAAATTATTCATAAGCAAAAGTGTGAGTTGGAAAGACTACTTCAAATTTTGCACATAACGACAAGTCAAAATTATCCTATTACTACGTCATGACAAACTCTAATAACAGTAAAATGTTCTTTGACTTAACCACATGTTGTAGAAAATTACTTTCCACATTGTTTTAAAATGTTCTTGGTATAAAGCAACGGAATAACATTAATCACAGTCAAATAACCCAAATTAGATTATTATTATTTGATTGACAGTGTACAGTAATTTGGTTTTATAATGACGGTGCAATTGAATAAAAATAACTAAATTGACTGGACATTCTCTAAAGTAAATTACTTCTCGACATACTATAACCAGTCTTGTTATTATCATATCCACGTGGACATCATTTAGCACCAATAAATATTAAAGCATGTGGAATTATATGTTTTTTATGTAGTGACAATTTAAGTTTTTATTGATTAAAATCTATTTATTAGTGAGACGTTTAGATGGATATAAATTCCGTCACTAATGTAAATCCCGCATTAACATAGTGACGAGGATTACATACAACAGATATGACGGCCAACTATTATTAATAATCACAAGCTACATAAGAGCGTCAAGCGCTAAAATTCAGACTTTAACAAAGTGTATAACGTTCAGTCGTAACATTTTGTCAATAAAATAATTCTACTCATAAACGCTGCTTAATTTAATTGGGACAAGCTACAAGAAAACCAGACAAGTGAACATTCTGTTATGTAACATAAATGAGAGGCATGTGTGGCTGAAAGTTACCGTAGAGCGCTGACTAAAGTACCCCCGGTATTTTACATTTCACTTTTTTGAGGGGTACTTTACTCGGTGGGTACTTTGGTACACCCATGATAATACAGTGAGCCCACCATAAATGCACGCCCTCGGGAATGGAGGAAAGCGTGCATTTATGGAGTGTGCATTTAGAGAGGGTAAGAACTTGAGTGGATGCACGTGAAATTAGGAAATAATAAAATATCATTGGTTATTTATTATTAAAAAATTGATCCATCGTTGTCTGTTTCATTGCCGTCATCTTTTCTACATTAATGTACGTATTTGTCAAGAGCTTTGACGTTTTTGAACAATTCTTCAGCATTATCCTGTTGTAGAAAATTTTTGAAGACTCGTTAATACTGATTATTTTATAATCGTGGGCACATAATTTCTATATTTGGTCTTTGCGTACAGAAATTTCTTTATTCGGTCTTTGTCTATAATCGTGCGCACAGAAATTTCTTTATATGGTCTTCGTCTATAATCGTGGGTGCAAATTTCTTAGCGTAACACTACTTATATCACATGAAAAGTCACGGGGGTGCATTTAAAGAGGGAGTTTACCTATGGTGGGAATTCGAAAAAACCGTGCAGTGCAGAATATGGAGGGTGTGCATTTATGGAGGGTTCACTGTACATTGACAGCCGCCTAGTGTTTACGTAACACGTTCTATGTAAATAAAGACAATGCAACGCATACACGGATTCATATTCTTTTTCTCAATACCCGCACAGGGAAAATTCGCAAGCCATCTTACTCAACTTTAGCAAAGTGGGTGAAGCAAGCATGGGATGATGTTGATGTCAATCTTATTATTAAGTCATTTAGATGCTGTGGAATTTCGCTTGATCAGTCAGGAAAAAATGACGATGAGTGGTTGATCTGTAGCTGTCCGTTGACTCTGATGGTTCGGTATTTTCACTATCCGAATGAATGTCAATGGTATCATTCTCATTATACCTCACATCTTCGTTGTTCTCGTATAAACATAGACGAAGATATGTTGGAAAACTATGAAAATGACCAGTGAGGAACACACATATTCTTACATTAGGCAAAATCTCTCATTATACAAATAAAATTCTATAAACTTTTGGCGACGAAGCGTTTCGTTAAATTATTGTGATGACTTGTAAAGTTTTCCTCTACACAATATGTTTAAAGTATACGTCACAGCATACTATTCATATATTAGTATTTTATACCCATCACGTAACAACGTAATATTTGATAATACCCGGGTCTTTCACAATTTTTTCGGCCTAAGGTACTATACATAGGGCACGGTAATTTTAATACTTTTGTTGGCGAGGGAATAAAAATTTCTTTTCCGAGACAATGGCCAAATACACTACCTACTTTGATAAGCCTCCCGAAGGATGGAGCTTCCTCGGCTTCTACCAACACCGCCATAATGAAAAAAACGTTATCTTATCCTTCATGAAAGAGTCGTATATCCTCAAGAATGCCTTGAGAAATACCAATGGCCAAAATCTGGCAAAGTCATTCAAGGTCTTTTTGATTCCTCTTCATTCGTTGTAAAGCCGTATGAGGTTTCCGCCAAGTTCATCTTCCACGACTATGAGGACGCTCCGCGCGACGTTCCTCTAACGTTCCGCGTGAATTTTGTGGTATGCAGAGATCTCAGTAGTCATTTATGACTCTCACAACTATGAGGACGTTCCGCGTGACGTTTCTCTAATGTTCCGCGTGATGTTGGAAATATTATTCTTTTACCAGAACTGTAAAGATCTTACGTTAACAAATTTCTGTATTAAAAACATCAACTTGTCATCACTTCTCAGTAACCTATCTATATTGTGTAAATCCAAAATCATGGAAGAGAACCGAAAAATTTTTTGTGAATAATAATAAATAATTCTATAATAATATTGAACATGTAACCTCAAGTAAAAGTTTGTCTTAAGACAATTTCAACTACAAGTTAGTTGTCATAAGCCACAGCATAGATCAAGCAAAGCCTCACCAAAAAATTTTCAGCCACGTTGTTTTCTCCTTTGTTGTACATAAGGAGCATAAAATTTCATTGTCAAAGGTCGTTACCGTAGTGTCATTATGTATCAATAATACGTTTTGTAGTTTAGAAAGTAAATAAAAATACTCACATGAAGTAAAGAACTAGAATCAAGTGATGAAAATATAAGTCATTACCCCACATTATTATGGAAACTTTTCCACAAATAATATCAACCTTTTTACTTATACTCTCCGTGTTTGTTAGCTGCTGGCAACAACGTTATTCGTTGAAAGAGTCGCTTCTGTGTCAAAGAATACAGATGGTATTAAGCCAAAGATTAAGCAAATTGGCATCCTACACAATGAAGCGTTCTATTTAAAATAGTAGGTAAGGACGTATTTTAGCAATTCTTAGCCGCTTTCGACATTAATTGACATCTTAATAAAGCGTGCACGTTTGTAAGGTCGTGTTTTGAGCTAATAAGACCTAATCGAAAATAATCGTATTAATCTCACTGTTTGACAATGATGTTTATCGCTGCATAGCAGACTTTATGTGATGAACGGCGTCGAATCGAATCGCCCGTAAGGAGACGTACTCGAATGCAGAAAACATTAGGAAATCAGTATATAGAACAACAGTAACAAATAAAGTTGACCATATGTCTAAGCATCCCTGTCGTGTATTGTTGTAGTATGCGTTAAATACCGGCTAAATTTGTTCAAAATATATCTTTTCACTAACTGAACAACTTGTATTGAAGTCACGTTATTACATATTTTTACGCCGTGGCATTTGGCGATTAATCTTCGATTATCGAGAATGATTTTCCCATCTACAACGCCGTCACCGCGGCCTATTCTAAAACAAACGATGAAGATCAATCACTACGAAGGACAGGCAAAGATATTATCAAAACTCAGTGAGAATAATATTAAATATGTGGCTTAATACTAATGCAGAGCTTCCTCATTATAATTATACTTACAATCAACAGCAGATTATTATCCTATTCCAGAACCAGTTTTTCCCTTATACAAACAAACAGCAACTTCTTGTCTTAGTTCAAAACTAGTATGAAAGATGTACTCTTCCTTACTATCAACAAATCTTATAAGTGCAGACAAGCATACTAATACTAATACACCCTTGTTACCCAAATTATTACTATAACCCCAAAGAAGCACACAGTCACTTACTAGTCATCATTATATTGGATTGTCATGAGAGACTTTAAAAAAGAGTGTGAATTGTATTACAAAAAGCTCATTCTGCATTAAATGGGTTGAGTGGGTATAATACAGTGCCTACTCAAAAGTCTCCGACCACCCCTTAAATTTTTCGTCGATCGCGCATAACACTACAGTCAACCATCCAAACAAAATGAA